CTCGCACGGTGTTGTTTTCTCCGACGATGATGCCAATGCCCACATGGTATACCACCTTTCCGACGAGTACTCGGTAGAGAAGAAGATTCTGACCATGTCACCGATTCCCCCCTCGCGCGAGACAATTGAAAAGGCTGTGCGAGATGCTCATGCGGACTCGGTTCGCCGTCGGGAGGGGGAACCGAAGAATGGCGCGGGGCACGCGTTCGTCGCTTCCGGTGGCATCCGGGGCGATGGACGTGTCCAAAATGGATCGAGTGGAAACGGCGGGGGTCAGGACGTAGACGGAGGCGCCCGGAGTCGGAGCAGGAGCAGGGTGAGAGGAAACAAGAAAGGCGGAGGTGAGAGAGGAGCCGACAACGACCACTGCTACCTACATCCGCGCTTGTTCCACACCAACGCCCAGTGCAACACCCAGCGCGACCGTCGGAAGGAGCAGGAGCAGCAGCAGCCCCAACAGCAGCAGTCTCAGCAACAGCAACCCCAACAGCAGCAGTCTCAGCAACAGCAGCCTCAGCAACAGCAGCCTCAGCAACAGCAACTTCACGGACCGCCGCCGCAGCAGCCGAGCTACAGTGGGGGGGGCTGGGGCGGTGGGCCTCAGCACGGACCTCACAGCGGCTACGGAGGACAGCATCAGCACAGGTATGCAGCGCCCCCTCGTCCTCCACAACCGCCTTGGCGGCCTCCGTACGGGCACGCTAATGTGATGCACGCGTACAGTATAGTGCTATGCCCTACGGGGGGCCCGCGAATGGTACCGAGTATGGCGGGTGGGAGCAGCAGCAGCAGCAGCAGCAGCCTTCGCCAGACTACTACCAGCAGCAGCCGTACTACCCGCCTCCGACACCGTACTACCAGCAGCAGCAGCCACCATCGCAGCCTCCGCCACCGCCGTCGTTTCAGCCGCAGCAGCAGCAGCACTCCACCCATACCCCGCCCCAGTCGCCCTCTCCCGGAGCAGCAACCTATCCGCCTGGGCATCTCCACTCCCTGATGGCACACTTTGTGTCCGCTGACGAGATGAGTTCGCTTTCGGTTTCGAGTGATGTAAGCAGTGTCGCATGTGGTGATGATCTTGGCTTTGCTTTGTCTGCACAGAGTTGCGAATACAGTCCTGGTAGGGAGGTATTTTGGTCTGATAGCGGTGCAAGCAACCATTTTGTGAGTAACAGCTCCAAGATGTACAACATCTCGCCTGTCCCCCCCGGCAAAGAATTCATCAAAGTAGGCAATGGTGCTTATTTGCGCGTGGAGTGCGTAGGTAGTGTCAATCTGGCATTTCACATGGCAGGAGGTCGATCGGGAGAAGCGGATTTCTGTGTCCAATTGACAGACGTGTACGTAGTACCAGGGATTTCGTTCAACTTGTTCTCTCTGCACCATACGCAGAAAAAGCACAGGATAATGCTGGGGTGTGCACCTTTTCGGTGGTCGGCTTAGTTTCGCATATTCGGATATCGGATGCTCTCTATCGGCCACCCGCTTGCCTCCCTCGTACCGCGACGGTGATGTAATCCCCTCTACCGTTGTCCCTCCCCCCGTTGTCCGCCAAGCGTCTCCGCCTGGTGTTGGTACTGGCCTTTTTGCGCAAAACCCCCCTCCCCCTTCTCAGATTTCAGGATCGGGTGCAGGATATGGTCCGAGTTCCAGCTTCCCGTC